AGTTAGTGTTTATAGATCTAAAAAATTAATAAACATATGCTATGTCAATCAAAGTAATAATAAAAATATCAGATCATCATACCGTTAGAGAAAATAACGATTGAGTGATTAAAAAAATTCAATGTCTAAAGTTTAATGATGAAATTGATTTTTTTTTTAAATTTAGTGAACAAAATAGGAGAGAGAAAGAGAGAGTAAAGTTTAGTGAGAAAATTTATAATTTACCCTAATAATAATGAGATCTATTAGTTGGTCAAGTGATCAAGGATGCTTATATTATCTATTTTTTATAAATTTGAATCTTAATATTTATCTTAAAGCATAATATCTCTTCTTAATCAAAATATTAATAATAACAATATTTATACAACCACTAATACTATAATGTTTTGTACCCTTCAACCTCTATCAATATCATGTTGTTTTGCATCCTTTAATCTTCACGTCATTATCGAGACAAAAAATTATTCCCATGTCATTTTTGGATTTAACGATCCAATGCTGCAATCAAAGCTTAAATTAAAGTTAAATGACCATTAAACTATTTTTCTGGTAAAATTGTCGTTAATGTTATTATTTTTATTTCGATCATTGATAATTAAAAAATTAACAACAATGTTAATGCGAATATCCTTTGGTATCACCTCGACTCTCTGGCCTCGACTATCAATTCTCCTTGGATTTTTTTCCGGGGATTTTAACGCCACCTTATTCTCCTCTAATCGCAAGGGCTATGCAACCTCTACTAGATCAAGTAAGGATTTCCAGCGTTTTGTCTTTAATTCTGGTTTTAGAGATTTGGGTTATCAAGGTCCTGACTATACTTGGAATTGGGGTTATGTTTATGCTCGCCTCGATCGTGCCCTCTGTAATTCTCATTGGGATGAACTCTTTCCTAAAGCCTTCGTCCACCATCTTCGAGTTCGTTCGGATAACCACCCTTTTCTCTTTTGTACTGAGCAGCCCCCAGACACTCTTCTACCCCATAATTTAAGTATTTCTCGAGGTGGCTTCTGCATGATGATTTTGAAATGATGGTTCTTGATAACTAGAAACAGCCTCTAATATATCTCATACTATCTCCAACTTCACTGTTGCGATCGATACTTGGAACATGACCGTTTATAGTTTCATTAATGCTAAGAAGCGTGCTATCATGGCTCGTCTTAGCGGAGTTCAAAAAGCTCTTGCCCGTGGACATACTTTTTTTGTTTCCTCTCTTGAATTCAGTCTCTAATCTGAGCTGGAGTCATTGCTCAATCAGGAGGAAACCTCTGGAAACAAAAGCCTCGTTCTGGCTGGATCACTAATGGTGATAGAAATACTAAGTATTTCTATCAAAAGGCTATTCGTCGCAAGGTTAAGAATCGTATAACCTCTCTTAAACTTGGTGATAATGATTGGTATATAATGAAGAGAGGCTTCAAGCTGAGGCATTGAACTTCTTTTAGAATCTTTATGCTGACACTGAGGCAAGTAGTGACCCCTTTCGCCTCTCGGGATGCTTCCCTTCATTGGACCTGGAGAATTTTTTTGGCCTTGAAACTATTCCTGATGACGATGAGATCTTTGCTACATTCTTTGACATGTTTTCGTTAAATGCCCCTGGCACTGATGGGCTTCATGTAGAGTTCTATAAAAAAAACTGGCACATTGTTGGTCCTGATGTCTGTCGTATGGTCCAAGACGTGTTCAATGGTAATCCAATTGAGCCTTCTCTCAATAGAGCCACCACCATTCTCATCCATAAGATTGATGCTCCGCAAACTATGGTTGACTTTCGCCCTATTAGCCTGTGCTCAATTCTCTATAAGCTAATTACTAAGACATTGTTCAAAAATTGCAGCACATTAAACCCCGCCACATTCACCCGACCCAAACTAGTTTTACCTCTGTGAGGTCTATCACGGAAAACATCATTCTCAACCAAGAAATTAGCCACTCCATACATAACAAGAAATCAAAACAGGGGTGGATGGCAATGAAGGTCGACTTAAAGAAGGCTTTCGATAGAGTTAAAGGAGAATTCATCCATGAAACTCTTCTTGAAGCAGGTTTCCCTCCTCGGATCACTCAGACTATTATGCGTTGCATTTTTACCTCTTCCTTGCAAATCCAGTGGAACGACTCTCTCACCCTCTCTTTTAGACCTGAACGAGGTATCAAGCCTTTCTCGTTGGCTCGTAATGGCTTGCCTATTTCCTATTTGTTTTCACGATGACCTCAATTCTCTACTGTAAGGTCGATCTTGATAAGTTCGTCTCATTGCCTCAACTTTGATCGCGTTCGGGCATTTCTCTTGTCACAGAGTCAGCAACCGAAAAACTCACATTTATTTTTCTCCAAATATGGATAGGAACCTACAGAATTGAATATGCTCTCTTTTGTGTTACCAACTGGTTGATATTTTGGGGAAATATTTGCGGTCCCAATCATACATGATCGTCTCCTCCGTTCTCAATATGAATTTGTTTTGGACAGAATGAGGGCTTGTTTAAATGGTTGGGTTGCTCGTACCCTCTCTATGGTTGGTCGCATCACCCTTGCCAAATCACTTATAGCAGCGATTTCCATCTATTTTATGTAAACACCCATACTTCCTTTTATTTAGAAGCTTGGCTATGTCTTAATCATTAGACCAAACGCCTAGTGGATCCAAGCAATTCGCCAAAAGTATCGCATGATCGAATCTTTGCCCGACTTCTATCTCTAGATCTTGTTGCTCTCCCCTTTAGCGAGCTTTATCCCAGACATGGGATAACTTTCACTCTAACCTCTGTTAGCTGTCTTGCAATGGTAGAAGTGTTAGTTTTGGGGATGACTGTTGGATCCCCACTTTGGGTCCCTTAAGCCACCTTTCAAGCTCTCGCCATGCCACTATCCATACCGAGTTTCAAGATTTCATTAACCAGAGTGGTTTTTGGGACACTAATGAACTCTACCGTGTTTTCCCCCATAATGTTGTTTCCCATATTATGAGAATTATTTCTCATGACCCCATGAGCGATGAGGATTGTTGCATTTGGCAATGGCACCCAACCCATCAATTCACCATTGACTCTGCTTACTTTAAACTGGTTGAACATCTTCAGGACCCTGTGGATCCGAGGTGGAAGCTTGTTTGGTCGTTACCGAACCACCAAAGCTTCCGTGTTTTCTTATGGTTGACTCTCAAAGACCGGCTCCTTACCAATCAAGAACGATGTCGTCGTGGGCTGCTCACATCTCCAACTTGTCCCCTCTTCTGCCAACAAAGAATCCATCCTCCATGTGATGAGAGATTACCCTCCGATGAAGGATGCCTGGTTAAAAGTCATTCCCCCCGATCTCACTCAAAACTTCTTCATGACTTCTTTGTCTGACTGGATTATATCAAATTTAATGAACAAAGACAGTTTCCCAGGTACGGTCATTTCTTGGGTTGTTTTCTTTTCAACTTTCATTTGGCAGATATGCAAAAGGAAGAAATTGTTTGTTTTCAACGACTCTAGTTCCGGCATCTATGACAATCTCCGGTGTAAGATTTCCTGGTTAGCTCATGTTAAATCTTTTCGTCAGCCCAATGCTCCTTTAGGGATTAGACATCAAAACAATGATTATGTGGCGGCCTCCCATGCATGTGCAAAGTTGTCTCAACGTTGATGCTTCGGTTATATTCTCTCTAGTCTTGGCTCAGTCGGTGGAGTGCTTCGAACGAGAGAAGGTGACTGGCTTCAAGGTTTCCACAAGTTCATTGGTATCTCGACCAAACAACATTTACACTAATAAAGAAAAATTGCGAAGTCAACTAGGTGATCCTGCGAGTAATCATGTGTGACAAACTTTACACCGGACAATTCCAAACAAAAAGTTTAGGTAGCATCATCATAACGAAATATGGAGAAAACGTAAATTATAGGGAAAAAGGAAGAGAAAGCCTTCTTCTGTAGCCATTGTCGGTACTATTAGTCGCTTTCCTAATGAAAACTGTCATTCGAGCAAACTTTCTCCGGTAGCCATTGTCGGTATTATAATCCATCTTAATAACTTGTCTCATTGTTTCTCCAATCTCCTTTAGCACGTTCTTCTTGTACAATTACCATGGAAGACTCGGTAATCTAATCCAAGAGATAATGAATGTTCTTCGTATGGTTCCAAGACACAGAGAGCCTATGAATCAGGCCTGAACCATAAGGTACTTTTTCCATGTCCAATCCATGGATCTTCAGCTAACACTTTAACATAAACCAACTTCGATTAGGAAATAATCAACAAACTGGAAGGGATGTGAATGTTTCCAAAGTGCAAAAACTCCGCTATGCAAAGCATTTAAGCAGACCCTTCCCCCCCCCCCCCCCAACCCTAACACCACACCCCTTAAAAGTTTCAAAACAACTGTATTCTAAATATTTACAACATTCTGCAGACTATTCTCGGTCTTCATTCAGAGAAAACTATACCTGTAGACTATTTTGTTTGATGGCATTCTGAAAACATTTAATAATAATACTAATATTCAATACATTAAAAATGATAAATAAAAGCTAATTAATATGATATTAACATTGATAGTTGACAATTTTATTCACATGAGGTGTATATTTCAATTAACACGTCGAGCATCCGAAATCATAGATTCATTTAAATACCAAAACATATATATATTTACAAAACCATATAAAAGAAAGGTAGCACACGGTATTCAATTTCAGAAATAGGAGAAGAAAACCCGGGAAATGACGGAAAATATAAACAAGTAAACTCATCCTGTTCTGCAAACAAGAAAGGTAGCATACAACATTCAATTTCAGAAAGTGATTCCGACCCCTTCAATACCTCGTAGCTTACACCGTTTTTCTCCCGCTGATCTAAAATCTGACGAGAAAATATTCAACAGAAGAGGAGCGTCAACATCCAGAGTTGATGAAAAGATTGTGTCAACTAGATTCTTATTTCTCCCGAGTCAAAGCGCCTTGAAGAATTGATGAAAAGATTGGCAGCCTAAATACATGCAACCTTTCATATAACAAAGGTAAAAGTCGATTATGTGGGAACACGCCTGACCAGCTGCAGAACGAAAACCTAATATGCATCTGCAATGTCCTTAGTGGAAAGCTTTACTCTTAAACAACAAAAGAATTCCATCTTGAATAAAGAGTTATTGATCAAAAGTCTGATCAAATATAATTTCCTGTGACATAAAATAGTATAACATATCAGTTATCACTAGTTTGTAGACATCACCATAAACATATACCTGCAAGGTTATGTAAAGTGCGAGTTTTGGCACAGGAATTAGAAGTCTGTAGATTATTCAATTTACTCTTAAAACAGCACACTATAATTCCCGTTTCTTTTCTTGCACCATCCACTAGATAGACAAAACTTGAGTTCATTTGTCAGCACAGTAAATTGCAACCAACAAGTGTGACTATAAGCCTTGTCTCAAGTTAATCCCTCTACTACGAGTGTGACTATTATCTAATCTCATGCAGCTAACCAACGAGGAGTGTAAAATTTATAGTAATTTGAAAGAGAAAAAACCTGATCACATAAAGGGCAGGTGTCACTTCTTTCCATCCATTCCAAAATGCATGAGAGGTGAAAATGATGTTCACATTTCGTTACAAGCTTCGGATTCTCTTCTTCATACTCTGCATGTCCAGGTACCATATAAAAGCTATCATTTATGAGCTGCTAAAGTTATTAAATTAAGAAATTGGCACAGTTTTCAACATACAGTAATCAGGTAGCAGCAAACATGGTTTTTAGATCTTACACTAGCAATTAATGCCTTAGGCAATAGGAGTAGACCCACCTTCAAGACAAATAGGACATGTATCCTCTTCTTCCGTTGCTGTTTTATTAGATTCAATTAATGTTGTGGCTTCTGGTTTTCTTGGTGAAAGAAGTAAAGAATTAGAATGTGTTCTACAGTCCGATTCCTCAAGATCTTCACATGTAGGCAGTGCCTGAAAACTGTCCCCACTGACAGTTTCCTTGAAAGACTCTGAATCAGCTGAATTTGGACACCCTAAGACCCCATCATATGGCAAAGGTGCTGGAGGTGGCCTAAATGTGTCAGGTACTTCTAGATTCAAATTAACCAGAACTGCAGCCATTGTAGAGGCTGACCCATCGTGAGCTCTTAAAGACTCGTTCTCTTCCAATGTAGGCGGACACTGTGGAAAGGCATTTTAAAATTCAAAGAATGATACATAAAAGTCAGAGACTCTAAAGAACATTTTTATCAAGATAGTAGTTAAAAGGATATCTCTACTTAAACAAATTAGAAATCACCAGGTAAGCTACCATATAAGCATAATGGCGAAAAACAAACAAGAGCTTCATGTTCACACATATATACACATTCTATATCCCATGATAGAACTTCCAACATTTATCCAGTCAAAAGAACAGTTGCAGATTACAGGTTCTACAACCAGTTCCAGTGAAGAAGAAGGAATGAATGGGATTGATTTTGTGGAATAATCAATTACAAAAAGAGTGAACTAAGGGTATTAAAAATATTCAGTTTTCTTTCTCATTTGCCTCTTCCTTTTCCAATTTGTTATTGTGGATAGCGGTGAGTGAATACTCCAATATTTTCAAAAAAACACCTTCAATTTCTTATGTCTGAAGAAGAAAAAAGTCCTATAAGAATATAAAGGCATTAGACATATTCACAAGATGAACATATTACTAACATAATAATATACAGGTGTCCCATGCAGATGAGGCTTCCGAGAAGAACAACAGCAGCCTCCCATATCCCACAGTTATATTTGTCATCCACTCAACGCAAAGGTAGTTTGGTGCATTTTCTCCTGTTATTGACATCAAAGGTCAAGTAGAATGCAATACTTTTAAACATAAGGAGAAAAAACAACTTACAAGCCAGAAAAAAAAACATGTAACATAATAACAAAATAGAATCAAGCTTTAACAAACATGAACAAGAAAAGAGAATATATCCTTACTAATCATGCCAAACAGAAATGTGAAATAAGCAAGGTGGAATACAAACAATTTAACTATCCCCATATATAGGGAAACCAAATACAAATACACTAAAAAAGACCAGGATCATAACGAGCTCAGTATAAAGCTTCATAAAAGTATTGTCAAGATGATTATCGTTACTATCTGACAAACATTATAAGCAGATGTTGAAGATCATGTCGAGAAGTAAAAAGTTTCGGTCAATCATAATTTTGGTTCAAACAAATTCTTCGGTTAGCTGAGGATAGCAAGTTACCAGCTTTCTATGCATGCATCACAACCATACAGTTCATAATGGCAGGTGTATGCATTAGCAGACAATATACAATTAAAGAAAGAAAACAAAAGATAAGAAAATGATGACATGCAAACAGAGGATGGCTCAAACCTTTATTATAATAAGCAGCCTCTTAGAACCACATGCCCAGATTATCCAAAAACAGAATATAAAAAGGTATTGAAAATAACCAATAAAGAAGACACTAAAGAACTTGAATTTCCAATATTCACACTTTTGAAATCTTCAATAAAGGCAATCCAACATAGAACCATCAGAAGCTAACGAGGAAACCTAAAAGTCAAAAGTACATCGCAATACAGTTCAGATTAAAAAATCCGATATCAATCACTAATTAGCTCGAATAACAACATACGACGAAACAATCCATATAACGGAAAAAAAGAAAGTCGTATCAATTTCATAAACCCTAATTAGAGAAGAACGGAATAGATGAAAGGAGGGGGGAATAAAAAAGTAAACGATTTATAATGAATAAAAAGGAAGTTCAACGTGTACAAAAAAGGCAAAAATTTACAAATTTTACCTTTTGAAGCGTCGGCGGAGAGAACAGGCGAAGGATTTCAAGCCAAAAAATTCCAACTTGGAAAAGTCGGAAGAAATTGAAGAAGAAACTTGGCTCTGAGAAAAAGAGAGAAAGAAGCTTTATGGTTTTCCCCTTTTATTTTATTTTAATTCTTGTCTGTTGTTTTATGGTTTCTTCACCAGTATGCGCTCCACTTAGCTCCTCCCTCTTTCAATATTTATTTGTTTGTTTATTGATATTGTAGAGTGCAATGATTTCAATTGCGCCAAAACCGCATAAGATTTTTCTGTTTACTATCTTTATGTAGATAATAAAATAAAGCTTCTAATTAGATTAAATCAAATTTTAACAAAATACTTTATAAATCAAAAGTAAAATAAAAATGATTGTGAAATAAATAAAGCTTATTTTTTGTGAATTGCAAGCCCATCTTACCATCTAAATACTAAATATAAAAATATCATTAATTATTATATTTCAACTTTATTTTTATAAAATAATAATACAAATTGTTTAATAATCAAATATAAAATTGATAATAATACGTATTTAAAATTTTAATGTAAATAATATATATATATATATATAAAAGCATCGCACATCGTTCATCTCTGATCCTATGCATTCTAAATGCCGTGCTCCTCTGATCTCTACCGTCCATTTCAAACGACAGTTATCTTCTTCTTCAACACTCTCCGGAGAAACCTCGTAGTTACGCGCGCCGAGTCTGAAACCCAATCCAACTCTCTCGTCGAGTACACTCAGAAACACGGCGTCGGCACTGCATCCCGAGTCGACCAGCTTCTATTCTCACGCCCTCAAAATCTCATCCAAAATAGGTCTCCTTAACGAAGGGAAACAACTCCATTCGCGCATAATAAAAAAACGCATAATAAAAAAAACGGTTGAACAACGTACTGCATTTGCAAACTCAAATGCAACGTTTATATGTTAAATGCGAACAATTTTCCAATGTAGGGAAATTGTTAGGGAAATTGTTCGATGAAATGCGTGTTAGAAACTTGGTGGCGTAGAACACAATGATTTGTAAGTCCAATATTCTTCTGGTTTTTCTTATTTCAAGAAAATGTTGATACACTACACATCGTAGGTTTTGATCACATAACTTTGAATTCTTTGCTCCGTGATTCCCCTAAGCTAAATAACATCGTTTTAGCATAGAATTGCATTGCTTTATCGTGAAATTGGCGTTTTTATATGATTCTTTTGTTAGCAGTGCTCTTGTTAATTTATATGGGAAGTGCAGTCTAGTTGAAGAAGCGAGATGGGATTTCGATCAAGTGTCTTGTAGAGATTTGGCGTTGTGGAATGTGATGGTTTCTTATGATGCTTCGGATTCGTTAACACGAGAGACTTTTGAGGTTTTTGATTTGATGAAGAAGGAAGGTGTTAAAGGGGACGGTTATACGTTTTATTCTTTGCTTAAATCTTGCTGTAGTTGCGGATTTTATGAACCGGGATGGCAGATAAGCAGATTCATTATCTCATTATTAAACTTGGTTTTGATTTAGATGTTCACGTGGTGAGTGCACTTGTTGATAAGTATGTAAAGAACGGAAATTTTTATGATGCTCGAAATGCCTTTGATGGAATGACTGCTAGAAATGTTGTGTCTTGGAACACTCTGATCGTGGGTTATGCACAACATGGAGATGTGAAGAAGGTTATATAGCTTCTTAGTGAAATGAGGTACAGAAGTTCTGTTCAGATTAATTAATTGTGTCAAGCAAATTTCAATCTTGTGAAGTTTATCCACATCTGCTGAATTGTTGCAAGTTATGTAGTCAAAATTAGTTTGAGTTCTTTTTATCGGTCGTGCGGTCACATTTATGGTGCATTGTAATGTTTTGTTTCAGTTTCAGAGCCTGATCTTGTTACTTGGACATCGCTTGGTCTATCAAAAGAAAGTATTATAGTTTTTGAGAAAACGTTAGCAACTGGTGTATATCCAGATCAGTTTGCCTTTCTTGATATTCTTTCTGCATGTAGCCGTGGGGGGGGGCTGCAGTGAATGAGGGGCTTTGTTATTTCAATATGATATCTAATTATTCCAGATTCAGAGCATTATACTTGCCTTGACGATCTGCTTGGACGAGCTGGCCTTGCTGATGAGGCTTGAATTTTCAACATCTCAGCCGGTTGCATGTACACCAGACACCTTGGGAGGATTTGTAGGGCAATGTAGCATCCATTGCAACATGATATTGGTCAAGTGGGCAGAAGAAAAAGCTCCTTGCCTTGGAGCCCAACAAACCCATTAATTATACTCTTTATCTCTAACAGGTATGCTTGCAAAGGAAGAAGTGTGAGGAAAATGATGACAGACCATTGTGATTACAACATTCCTGGTTGTAGTCGGGTGGAGGTTGCTGCCGATGTAATGTGTTCGCCTCAGATGATAATCTCACCCGAAGCTTTGGACATAGAAACTATGTCACCTGGTCCAACGAAGCAGGGATACAATGCACCGACTGCTCGGGATATGTTCTTCAGCAGTGTGGATGACTGTGCTCTTTCACTCTTTTCTTATTGTTTTCAGTTAAGGGTTTGCACACTCCAAATGAATCTGCATGCCCAATTAACCCCAAGCCAAGAGTTCCGATAGCAAGAACAACTCTTACTATATGGTTTTGAATCATCTATATGGCATTTTTTTATCCAATTGAAGAACAAAGTTATGCTGGTTGTGATAGATGCCAATGGCTTTTAGTGATAACAATAGGTCTAATACTAGTCTATTTTAGTGTCCTCTAAGCTGATTTGAAGGTTTGCTTGAAAGTCTGGCAACTTTCAAGTTTCAACTAACTAGAGAACCATGCCAATCTTCTTTCCAACCATGCCACTAATCATTGGTTTAAAGTTTAAACACTGAATTTTTATCCTCACTACATATCACAGTTGATTGACTTTTAATCCAAGGGGAAATGCCTTACTCCTAGTGGAACTGAGGAACGACACTCGATTTTTCTACGTCGTATGTTGATGAACTGCTTGCAAGTCGGTATGGAACCTAAGATCTCGAACTTATCATATCAGTTTTAGGGTAAACTATGTCTTTCGCGACTCCGTTTTTGTTACTCAATTATTTTTTTAAAAATCATATCAAAATTTACGTTTTGGTTCCTCGCCGTTAAAAAATTAATGGTGATACTGATGTGTCACCATAATATAATGTCATTTCATCATTGAAAAAAAAATTCATGTGAGTAGTAATGTTTATATTTTAATGGCATGTTACCAAAACATAAATTTAAGTATGATTTAAAAAAAATAGTTAAGTGGCTAAAACGAGATTACAAGAATAATTGAATGATTAAATACGTAATTTATTTTTTAAAGCAGTGACGTTAGAAGAACCAGCGAGATCTAAGGTGAGCCTCGAAAATGCTTATTTCCATTAAGTTAATTGTATATTTGGTACGTGTATTATACCCATTTTTTCAATATCATATAAATTATTTTTTCTTTAATTTCATACATGGAGTGGAACACCAATGTTAAACCCTTGGTTGAGTTTGAGCAAAGCAACCTGTGCAAGTGCCAACCTCGTTTTTGTTCGGACATTGCTGTTTAAAGGTCGTAACAGTAGCAGTTTGCAAGAAAGAATTCCCTGTTCAAACCTACCCTCATACTTCATTTGGTCGAAAAATAAATTTCTGACTTGATCAAATCAAACTATTATGTTACGTTTGAGCCAAGTTCCGTTGTCATTAACTGACACCTGTCAATTATTTTAAACCCGTTAAAGTTTGGTCCTTGAATTTGGTAATTTTTTAAATTTGATCACTTAAATTCTTTTGTCCATAGTAGTCCATGAAGGTGTATCTTTTATTATTTTGATGACGTAATATCTTAAGAGTTATGGATAGTCCATGAATGTGAATTTTTTGTTATTTTGATGATGTGATATCTTAAGGATAGTTGTTCTTTGAAAATTTTAAATTACTGTATATTTTGTTTTTTTTTTAATTTTTTATTGATGATTTATTTTTGTCTCTTTATAATTTTATAAATTCGTCATCTCTTAAAATTTTAGGAGCCCATCTTTTAGCATAAGTTGATGTGTTTGTCCCTGTTGAAGAGTGCACCATGTCATTAAAATAGCTAAAATGAAAAAAAAAATCAATGACTAATACAGATGAAAGTATTCAATAATCAAATAGGAAATAGTATTCAATTTTGAAGAATTTTATTTCTTTTACTCTTCTTGTGAGTATTGCTTGACTTTGACCGTATAAAGTGCACTTCCACAACGGGCAACCTTTTTTTTAGTCAAATACTCATAAATCCTTTTAAATATAATATTTATTATTATTAGTTAAATAAATTTGAATCAGCATATCATTTTTTTAAATTTATCGCATACGTTAATTTATAAATTATATTTTAATTACAAATTTTACACTTCTGAATACGGTATGGGAAAAAAAAGAATTAACAAGTAGAGATATATTAAATTTAAACATATTTTATTAGTGTTTAAAATTTTGATATTTTGTACTAATCAAACAACCTCAATAGTTTACGGAATGGTTGTTATCTTTAAAAATTTTGATTCAAGCATTAGTGATGTTAAAAAAAACACAACCCGAATGATCTCGCATGTTGACCCGTTTAGCCAGGTATTTATGTAAAAATAATTGAACTTTCAGGTCGAGTACTCGACCAATTATTTTTGGCGGGTTTTTAGGTCGGGTCCGGGTCATAAAATAATGCTTAACAGGGTACCACTGACTCGATACTTGGTTTCTTATGTATTTTTTTATTTTTTATTTTATTTTTATCAGATTTTCTACTCCTAATTCTAAAGTTATTTCACTCTAACATTCTAAATTTTTATTTTCTTAAATTATTTCACCACAACATACTAAATTATTAATTTCTTAGTTTATTTCACCCCAACAATTTAAATTATTTCTTTTAACTTCAAAATATTTTAAATATAATTATATTTATTTAATTTTATATTTAAGTTTTATCTTTTAATTTATGTAATTTAATTTATTAAATTTTATGAGTGAATTATATATTGTAAACGTTTAAATTTTAAATTTTAGATTTCTTTCTATGTAATTTTTCTTAATAAATAATATAATTTTTTAAAAAATAAAATATAAATATAAATTGGACACTTGTGACCCGAAAATAGGATATTTGGGTTTTATGAGTACTCGACTTACAGATTCTCGAATTTAACGGGTCGGGGCACAAGCCGACATTTTAGTCCCCGAATATCTCAGGTACCCTATATTTTAGGTACCCAAAAATGTGAATACTCGAATTTGAACACTCCTACCCGTGACTGTAGGATATTTGAATATTCGTTATTAAATAGTTGCGAGTTTCTAAGACATATTATCACTTGTAATCATCATAGATTAATCAAATTTTTTTATTTTCAATCATTAATATTGTTTTGACACGTGTATAATATTTATATTAACTTATACTAATTTAAACAAGTTTAATTATAGTATTATTTTTTGTAATATTTAAATTTTAATACAATTATTGATTAAATTTAATTCAATTAATATTGTCGTTAATATGATACATAATAAATGTAAAATCTAACATTTGATTTTTTTTATTTATGAATAAAGAAAAATATGAGTAATAAAAATATGGGTAAAGTATACAAATGGTCCCACAACTATAAGGTGTTGCTTTATTAAATCTCTTGACTATTAAAATTTATAAAATAATATGTTGAAAACATTTTGATATTTCGATATAACAAATTAAGTTAAATGAATTTTAAGATTTTCCAAATGATTTTCTAAGTATATTCGATATAATTATTTGAATATCAAAATATTACTCCAAGTCTTTCAAAGTTCATTTTAATCCTTACTAAAGTGTAAAATTGTGTTTTATACTTAAACTATTTTAAAAAAAATTACAAAGTATTTCGAGCCTTAATCGAGGCAAAAAATTTTCTTTTTAAAGGGTTTCAAGAAAAATCAGATTGTCCAGGGGCTACAGATTCCCCCCAAGGGGGAACAGATTCCCCCCAGGGGGTATCGATTCCCCGGAAACAGATTCCCCCAGGGGTATCGATTCCTCGGGTACAGATTCCCCCTGCATGGTTTGGCTCTGAGAAATAACAGATTACTCGGAGGGAACCGATTCCCCCCTTGAGGGTACCGATTCCCTCACTGTTCATCAGCCCAACGGTCATAATATTTGAATATTATGAAGGGGTATCGATTCCCTATGAAGGGGTACCGATTCCCCTCATTCTGGGCAGTCTATTTTTGCAGAAAAATCATTCCCAAACGGCTCCAAAACATCCCCAATGGCTAGATATGACTTCAAACACATTCCAAGCTATAAATACAAGCTAAGGACACTTGAAGAAGTAATAGAACAACTATCCAAGCAATCAAACACAAGAGAAGAATTTTTCATTCTTATTTCATCTTTCTCTTGTATATATTTTGTTCTTGTGAGCTCAATCTTGTAAACACCTACCTTAGAGAGGTTTTTTTGTTTACATTTCTTATCCTTTTGTAAAGGGGAAAGGTTTTAGCTTAGCCCGTGTAAAAGCTAGGGAAAGGTTCTAGTTTAGCCCGGAAAAACTAGGGAGTTTGTAAGGTTACTCTTTATCCTCAAAAGAAAGAACAAATTAGTGAATTTGTTGGAAAATCCTTGGTGAGGAGCTAAGGTAGTGGACGTAGACTTTGATTGAGAAAGTCGAACCACTATAAATCACTGTGCAATTCTCTATTTTTCAATCTCCTTACTCCCTAAACACAAAACCGTTCCTACCCCTCTTTGCAAACCGTTCGATATAATTATTCGAATATCAAAACATTACTCCAAATATTTCAAAAATCATTTTTAATTCTTACTTAAGTGTAAAATTAAGTTTTAATCTTTAAACAATTTCAAAATAATCTTTCAAAGTATTTCGGACCATTTCAAAGCCAAAAATTCCAGATTGCTCAGAGGGAACCGATTCCCCCCCCCCAAGGGGGTACCGATTCCCCCCTGAATGGTTTGGCTCCGAGATTTCCAGAATGCTCGGAGGGAACCGATTCCCCCATAGGGGGTACCGATTCCCCCCTGTTTAACGGTCAAAATATTTGAATTTTACACTTAGGGAACCGATCCCCTATGAGGGGGAACCGATTCCCCCCACGCTCCAAGCATTTTTATTAAATGTTTTCACACTTAAACGGCTATATTATCTTCATTAATTATCCCCAACGTTCAGAAGTGATTCAAGGTGTATTTAAACAAGTTCTGAAGCCCTTGATCAAGCAGAAATTATAGAGAAACAAGAGAGAAAGCATCAAACACCAAGTTTGTGCAAATCAAGCCAATTTTCCTTTCAATATTCATTTTGCTTTCAAGAACACCATTTGTGCTCATTTGTAATTATCTTTGAGTGTTCTTTTCTTGTTCTAGAATTGTGCAAACATCTTACCTTGTGAGGTTTTCCTTGTAAGTTTGCAAATTTGTAATCTTCTCTTTGGGAAAGAGTGTTCTCAAGAATTGGGGTATATTCTTGAGGGTGTTGTAAGGTTATCTCTTTGGCCTCAAAAGAAAGAACAAATTAGTGAATTTGTTGGAAAATCCTTAGTGTGGATAGCTAAGGTAGTGGACGTAGACTTTGATTGAGAAAATCGAACCACTCTAAATCGCTGTGCAATTACTTTCAATTTTTCAATCTCCTTACTCCCTAAACACAAAACCGTTCCGACCCCTCTTTACAAACCGTTCCGGTTATCGATTCGAGCTTCCGAAAATCCTAACATAATCATTTGACTGTAGAATGTTACTTTGTTAAGTCGTTCGACTATTAAAGTTTACAATATAGTCACTCGAGTATTCATTGTATTCCAAACCCATCATTTTCGTTAAAAAATTGATGACATTTTAAGTTGAACGTTAATCTATTAACTGTGATATAATGAAATATGAGTCAAAAATCTCAAGCAACTATCATATTTCAGTCATCATGTTAACATTTAATTCAGATGACCGTCAATTTTTTGATGAAAAAGGACGAGGTTAGAACATAACAAATAGTTGAGTGATCAGCCTGTAACTTTTAATAGTCGATAGACTCAACAAAGCAACATCCTATAGTTGGTAGACCATTTGTGTATTTTACCCTAAAACATCACATCAAATTATTGCGAAAATACTTTAAATGAAACCAATATTTGTTTCTTATTATTAATCCGTAGCCCTACTAATCATTTGTTACAATCCTCCTCGTTTGAAGTTGTATTTAGCAAACTGAACATACACGGCGCATGTTAGCGTAACCTACTTTTATACAATAATGAATTCAAAAAAGTAGTCTCTTTAATACTATCTCCATCCCATCAACTACCCGCCATTACCAAGTCATTACGTACACAATCTTTTTTCTTTTTACCTCGTCTTATTTTTCGTGATGACCAGCTCTACCAGCAGCTCAAGAAGCCGGAATCCTAGCTCCGGCCCACGATCAACGCCGGATCGATTTGCTAACTCTTCTAGCTTTTCTTCCAACTCTGCACCACCTGAGTCCGACTCTCGGAAACCCGATTCAGGTCGGAATCCACTAACGGTTGCTGTCCGGTCCATTGCTGGAGCTTTTATCTCGTGTTTTACGCCGCCTGAGACAGCTGAAAGGAAGAACTTAATAGTTTCCAATGAGTCTCGGACTCCTTCTGGTATGTCCAGTTTCTCTTTTTTAGTTTAAAAACGATCCTCGGATCTGAGAAATCCATAAAAACCCAGTTTTCGAGTGTTATTTGAAGATCTTTCAGTGTTTTTCTTATACGTGAATGTTGTTCTTGCTCTGTTTTTTTTCTTACTGGTGCTTTTTTATTTCCTTGTTTTGAAATTTTCTCGACAACCGAACAACATCCCGGCAATCAGGCTCTGCTTCTACTAATTTACATGTTAAAAGTTTCGTACCGAACAAAAAACCCAGAATTTTCTATTTGATCGATTTTTAGAAAGAATGCAGGGTTAGTTTTTGATTTAGTCATAAGTAATAGAAATTTCACTCATGATGAAATCCACATTGTTGGTCGACCTTCCGATAATCAAGTAACGTAAAAGAAACCACTTAAACTTATAATTTGATGAACTCGTAGTTTCATCGGAAGTGTCAAGAACAACTAGCGGGAGGCGGGGTTCGAATGGAGGGATTTATTCCAATGCACGAAAGGAGAGTGGGCCTGGGAACATGAAATTCACAATGGACGAAATTCTCAAGGCCACGAGGAACTTCTCCCCTGCTTTCAAGGTCGGGCAGGGTGGTTTCGGAACAGTTTACAAGGGAAGACTTGATGATGGATCCCTTGTTGCTATCAAACGTGCCAAAAGTGTACGGATCTCGAACAATCAAGTTAATTTTAACATGGTTTCTTCTTTTGATTTTTGATGGAAAAAAAATTTGTGGGATTGTTTTTGCAGTGTGTGTATGATAAGCATTTGGGTGCGGAGTTCCAAAGTGAAGTGACGACACTAGCACAAGTGGAGCATCTGAATTTGGTTAAATTTTATGGGTATTTAGAGCAGGGAGATGAAAGAATATTGGTTGTGGAATATGTCACCAATGGTACTCTTAGGGAGCACTTGGATGGTGAGTTATTGTTGTTTCTTCTTCTTTTGCTGGAATATTTAAGACTTCAATTGATAAAAAAATAGAAAATTTTGCTGCAGGTGTTCATGGGAAAGAACTTGACTTTGCCGCGCGGCTTGATATAGCCATTGATATTGCCCATGCAATCACCTATCTTCATATGTATGCAGGTTTGTTTTTGTTTTGGGGGTTTAAAATTCAAGTGATTTGATGTTCTTTGAGAGAATTTAATTAGATCATGGAACTGAATTTTGTGTAGATCACCCAATTATCCACAGAGACATAAAGTCTTCCAACATTCTCCTTACTGAAAAGCTTCGAGCCAAGGTTGCCGACTTCGGTTTTGCTAGGCTGGCTGCTGATATGGACTCCGGCGCAACCCATGTGTCGACGCAGGTTAAAGGAACCGCCGGCTACCTGGACCCAGAATACCTCAGGACCTATCAACTTACAGAAAAGAGTGATGTTTATTCATTTGGAGTATTATTAGTTGAACTAGTCACAGGCAGGCGCCCTATTGAATCTAAAAGGGAACACAAGGAGCGGATAACGCCAAGATGGGTATGCATTGAAATTCTTTTCCAGTCTCACTTCATTTGTTCATTTTGATCCTTGCGTTGTATTAAAGAGTGCATTTTGATCCTCAACTTTTAAAATGAACAAAATTTTTTTATACCATAGGTAAACCAACAGCATAATTATTCATCGGTTAGATGCAACGATTCTTTATTTTTTTTAGAGAACTAAACTTGAATGAAGAACTCGGATTCTGTAGTGAAAATGTAAGTTACTGATACCTGCCTGTTTTTGCAATTGCAGGCAATGAAGAAGTTCACTGATGGTGATGCCATTTCAGCTTTGGACCCTTGTCTAGAACCGGCTGCCAGAACTAATTTAGCCCTCGAAAAGATCCTCGAGCTAGCCTTACAATGCCTGGCTCCCCGTAGGCAAAGTCGGCCGAGTATGAGGAGCTGTGGGGAGGTGTTATGGAGCATCCGTAAGGATTACAGAGAACAATCAGCTTTAGGCTTTCGCTCTCTTTCGTCTTCTCAAAGGAGTGTGTCAGTTAAAGAAGAATAAACCCGGGTATGATTTGCACAAAACCTAGTACAAGTCCTGTTGTCTGCTTGTATCAGTGTTTTTTTTAATGTTACATCTGTAAGGGCCTTCAAGGGAGGTTAGATTTTTTGCAAGATTATTGTAGAAAATGTGTTTTGTGAGTTTTGATTAGTGTAAAACTGTGTATCTAAAATTTATATATTTCTTTAATTATTTTTTATAATTTTAGAAGATATGCATATACCCCTCCATCTAAAGTGCAGAATAGATCATATTGATAAATAAAAAATAATCATTGAAAAAAATCCAAATACCGTTTACAATTACATGATGGAAAATGGAAATACCTGCATCTGTTGTTCTCATTTTGCTCTGCTTTCTCTGAACTCTAAAAAGGTCACAGCTCTTCACTCTACCTGTTGGGGTATACATTATTTACAAAAGAGAGAATATAATCTTGGAAGATAATGATGTTACTCTACATGTCTAGAAAAGAACTTATTTCATTCTTATTTGAACTTCAATTCTATGAGAATTCTTCCCTCTTCCTATACCTCGAGAGAAAGAATCCCGCCGAGTTAACTGGTAGTTTCTGTTGGTCGGTGTTTCATTCCTGCTATTTACGGCTGTTACTTTTGAACGGAGGAAGAAGAAAGAACACGAATATATGGTGAGATGCCAAATACTGCACGGGAATTTTACAATTATGAGAGACTGAGAGCGACAGCAATCAAACAATATTATATACCAAAAGAAGGGAAAGAATTCCAACCTGTGCCAAATCCAGTAAGTTTCACTGCTTTCGAGGTTCCAGCTTAGTGCTGCCATGGCTAATCCAATAAAACCAGCAAACATGAAATCCAATCGATATTGTTTCTTTACAGTGTTCACAATATTCAGCACCCATTCCGTGCTCGGCCATCTACAGTAAAAATTACTTAGTCAGATTTCTTAGAAGAGCAAGTTTAACAATTCATCTAAATACTAATGCATTATCTTAGTTTGAATCTACAACATATCTAATAGGATGTGCTTCTACAGGGTCATGTTTCTCTAATGACAAAGCATAGCTTCCTGTGTAAGCTTTCAGGTGAAATCATGAACTTAAATATTAGATGCTAAATCAAGATAATAATAATAGTTGGATTCTTACGGTACTAAAAGCGGTTTATGCACTGCTATTCAAAAACCCTGAGTACTTCATGATGGTACAGAAAAATGTGGGTTATATTCCGGTTATTACTTTGTAAATATTAGTGTTTCATCCTAACACTAACTCTAGCAGCTTAATTTCTAGATAAAAATAATTTTAGATTAGTTAGAATTCTTGACTTAAAACTCTATTCTATTTGTAACTAGGATTTCTTGAACTACACCTATAAAAACAGTCATGTACCATTCTGTTTTTTCAACGTGAATTGAAGTAAATTCCTAGTATTTTTTTCCAGTAAATTATATTTTCTACATGGTATCAATTAGGTTAGATTCTGACTACGATAGTTTCCCCACCTCTTTTGAGCTTCTTTCTGAGGCTGCGACCTCTGTTTCTCACCCGAATCCTGCCGACACTGGTAATTTTGCTACGGTTGATGTTGCATTATCTTCTTCGCCTGGTTCTATTTCTTGGATTGTTGATTCCGGGGCTAGTAATCATATGACGGGTGATTTCACACTATTTTAGAATTTTCAGAAAACATTCTTACTTAGTGTCCGAACTATTAATGGTTCGCTTTCGGCTATTGCTAGCAATGGATCTATTCGAATCAATCCACATATTGTTTTATCTTCTGCTTTTTTATGTTCTGAATTCAGCTTGCAATCTTCTTTCGATTAGTAAATTGTCTGCGGAATTGTGTTGCACGATCAACTTTAACTCTGATATTTGCGAATTTCATGATTCGAACTCATGATGGTGATTGACAGTGCTAGGCGTCGTGGTGGACTTTACATCCTTGAAGCCCACCCTCCAGTTCATACCCAAGCAAACTCTAGTATTGTGTCTTCTATTGTTTTGATATCTCCATCACCTAATGATGTTTCTGCTAAGATTGTTTTATGGCATTTTAGGTTAGGTCATCATAATTTTTTTCTATCTTGCAAAGTTGTTTCCCAAACTCTTCATTAATAAAAAAAATCCTACATCTTTCTCTTGTGATATTTGTCATCTTGCCAAACAAATTCACAGTACATATAATCCTTCCCCATATCGCTCTTGTAAACCTTTTGCGATTGTACACAGTTATATTTGGGGTCCATCTAGTGTAAAAAGTTTGAATGGAGTTAGTTGGTTTGTTTCTTTTATTGATGACCATTCTCGTACGACATGGACTTTTCTCATACGCGATAAATCTGGGGCTGGTGACATTTTTAAGTGATTCCATAAAATGATTGAGAACCAATATCAGAGTTTTGTTGGGATTTTTAAGTCTAATAATGGTAGTGAATATTTGTCTCAATCCTCTGGATCTTTCTTTCTGGATAAAAGAATTGTCCATCTCGCTTCATGTGTCAATACACCTCAACAAAACGGGGCTGAGCATAAAAACCGACATTTTCTTGAGGTTACCAGGTCACTTCTTTTTTCTACTCATGTTCCTAAGTATCTTTGGGGTAAGGCTATCTTAACTACTATTTATCTCATTAATCACAAGCTTAGTAAAGTTCTACGATTTCAGTGTCCACGGGATGTTCTTACTCAATTTTTCCTCATTTTCAACTATGAACTCCTAATGTTTATTTTAAAAAAAAAAACTCCTAATGTTCCTCTTTGTATCTTTGGTTGTACTGCTTTTGTTCATGATCATACCAACTCTAGGTCTAAGCTTGATCCAAAGACAATCCAATGTGTCTTCGTTGGGTACTCTTCTCTTCAAAAGGGTTATAGGTGTTACTCTCCTTTTACTAATAAAGTTTTCTATTCGTGGATCTCATAGTGTCTCTCTTCTGCTTCAATTTCGGTTCTGGTGAACGGTTCCCCATCGGAAGAGTTTACTATGGCTAAAGGACTAAGACAAGGTTGTAGTCTCTCTCCGCTCCTATTCAATATTGTAGGTGAGTTGCTGCATTTGATGCTAGATAAAGCAGTTGACAAAGGACTTTTCCAAGGTTTTGTGATTGGGAATTCTGCAGATTCACTTCGGTTATCTCATCTTCAATTTGCCGACGATCTCATCATTTTTTGCCAAGCTTCACTTACTCAGATTAAAAATGTCAAAAAGGTGTTGAGGATTTTCAGTATAATGGCGGGGTTGCATCTAAACTTAAAGAAGAGTAAACTTTTTGGTGTAAATGTTGATGAGGATATTTTATCAGACTGGGCATTGGAAGTGGGTTGTTCTGTTGATCGTTTTCCCACAGATTATTTGGGTCTTCCAATCGGTGCTAAGAAGAATTCTGAAGCTTTACGGGATCCTGTCCTTAAAAATTTTAATTCAAAACTAGTTGGGTGGAAAGCTTCTTCTCTGTCCTTGGCTGGCAGGACAGTTTTATTAAAGTCAGTGTTGACTTCCCTGCCAATATTTTTCCTATCTTTCTTTAAAATGCCTTGCAAAGTTGGGAATAAATTAAACTCCTTAATGGCCAGATTTTTATGGGGTGACAGTGCGGATAAAAGGAAGATCCACTGGGTTAGCTGGGGTACAGTATGCAAACCAATGAACAGTGGTGGCCTTGGGGTTCTTGACTTGAATCTTTCTAATCGGGCATTATTGGGGAAATGGGTGTGGAAGTTCGCAAATGAAAAGGAATCCATATGGAAAAGAGTGTTATGTAGTAAGCAAAATATTAGTAGTAATACTATGTCTATTAGTAAGGTCATTTCTCCAAAATCTTGTTGGAATTTGAGAAGTGTTGCTAATAATTTTTTGAAGAATGATTCGGAGGGTGAGTGTCTTAGATCATTTTCGAAGTTGCAAGTAGGCAATGGTAAGTCCATATCTTTTTGGACTGATCCATGGGTTGATGAGGTTCCTTTAAAAATTCTGTTCCCTAGAATTTTTGCACTCTCTACTAACAAATGGGGTAAGGTTGCTGATTTTGGAAGCTTTGAGTTGAATGGTTGGCAGTGAACATTATTACTAGGAGGAATTTATCTGATTGGGAATTGGAACAATGGTTGGATTTGATGATGAAATTAAAGGAAATAAAACTCACTGATTCGGTTGAAGATTTTCTCTCTTGGTCTGCAAGTGGTGATGGGTTATTCTCAGTAAAATCGTACATGAAAGCTCTTGGTAAGGAAGTTGGGGGTATTGATTTGTGGTCAAAAGGGGTGTGGTTGGGTTTGTCTCCGCCTCGTGTAGAAGCTTTCCTATGGTAGTTAGCTCACCAGAAAGTTGCAGTTAAAATGGAGTTAGTGAAAAGAGGAATGTCCTTAGAAGAAGATATTCTCTGTCCTTTCTGCAAGGAACATGAGGAATCTGTGCAACACTTGTTCATTTCGTGTTTTGTAATTTGGGAACTATGGAATAAACTGACAAGCTTCTGGGATTTGTCTATTGTGCTACCACAGGACCCTCCTTCCTTACATAATTCGTGGGGAAGTTTGAGGTTGAATTCATTGATTTGGAAGTTTATCCCGGGAGTCGTTTTTTGGTCTATTTGGAAAGCAAGGAATGCGATTGTGTTTGAAGGTTTAAACCTTGATAAGCTGTCTCTCTTTTTCCTTGTGAGATTTAGGTTATCTAAATGGTTCCTAGCCAAGTATCCTAAATTCCCTATTCAGGAAGATCTGCTAATTGGGGATCCATCACTTGCTAATGGTATTTCTGTTCCTAAACCTAAGGATCATTCTGTTATTGGTTGGCTTCCTCCACCTGTTGATTTCTTAAAGATGAATGTTGATGGAGCTGTGAGGTTAAATGACTCGATTGGAGGTATTGGAGGCATTTTAAGGACTGTATTTGCTGCACTCTTTTGACTTTTTCAGAGAATATTGGTCAAGGTCCCCCACCAGTTGCAGAGTTAAAGGCTATAAAAAGAGGCATCGAAATATTTTTAGCTTCAAGTTGGTCTGCTGCCAGTAGATTGGTTGTTGAGAGTGATTGTAAGTCAGCAGTGGAGTGGATTCATTCCCCGTCTTTGGCACCAGTTTTCATGTTGCCTCTTGTTAAAGAAATTTTGTTGATCCTTTCTGAAAAGGTGGTTTTAATTAGGTTAATTCCAAGGTCTTGTAATGGGGAGGCAGATAGTTTAGCAAAGCATGGGATCGGTTGATTGTATGTTTTAGTTATAGTTTATTTTTCTGTGGCTGTAGGTTTTTGAAGTAGCTGAAGTTGTTAAGTCTTATGTAAAATCATCTGCTGCATTGTTAAGTCTTATGTAATTCCGGTTTGGTAATAAAATGAGGCACTCTTTTCCTCCCTCCACTACTTGATCCTTTCTGTTAGGAAAGGGTCAACTATGAGGGAGGTTTTTAACGAGGCTTCCTATTCCTATAAAAAAAATAAAGTTTTCTATTCAATGGACGTTACCTTCCTTGAACAAAAACCTTTTTTCTCTAAGTCTGAAATTCTCGGGGAGAGTAAGTGTGAATTTCAAGTTTTTTCGGTTAATATTAAACTACTAGTCACCTTATTTACTTCTGAAACTACCGAAACTCAACAACCACTTAACATCACTGCCACTTCTGATCCTGAAGGCCAAATAGACCTACAAAAACCATAAACTCGTTGAATTCTCCTCGTTTTCAACCATTATTTCCTAGTGTTCCTCTTCGTATCTTTGGCTGTACTGCTTTTTTTCATGATCATACCAACTCTAGGTCTAAGCTTGATCCAAAGACAATCCGATGTGTCTTCGTTGGATACTGTTATCTTCAAAAGGGTTATAAGTGTTACTCTCCTTCTACTAAGAAAGTTTTTTATTCAATGAATGTTACCTTCCTTGAACATAAACCCTTTTTTCTCTAAGTCTGAAATTCTGGGGGACAGTAAGTATGAATTTCAGGTTTTTCCGGTTAATATTAAACTACTAGTCACCTTATTTCTTTCTGGAACTACCGAAACTCAACGACCACTTAACACCACTGCCACTTCTGATCCTGAAGGCCATATAGACCTTCAAAAACCATAAACTCGTTGAATTCTCCTCAAACACAAGCTCATCTGTGTCACCGTTTATCTCCCAAAGTGACCTTTTTACATACAAACGATGACCAAAACACGTCCCACCAGTCTCCACACCGCCTATGCACAGTCAAGAACCGAACCAAGTTTGAATTCCTTGGAAAGTGAAGAAGATTATCAGAGTAAGTTGGATGTATTGGTTGATACTAGTGAGTTATCAATTGCTAAAAAAAGGAGTACGACAGTGTACAACATATCTCATTAATAACTCTGTTGCCTATGGTAAATTAATGCCTGACTTCAAGAATTTTACAGCTAAAATAGACAACATTCACTTTCCAGACACAGTGGAAGAAGCTTTAAAAAGTCCCGAGTGGAAGAAGGCAGTAATAAAAGAAATTTCGGCCTTGAAAGTAACCAAAACCTGGATTATTATCGATCTCCTAAAGACAAGATACAGTTGGTTGCAAATGGGCCTTTACCATAACATACAAGGCGGATAACAATGTTGAATGGTATAAGGCTAGACTTGTGGCAAAGGGGTTCACTTAGACTTATGGAGTAAATATCAAGAGAATTTTGCTCTGGTTGTGAAACTCAACATTGTGAGGGTATTACTATCTTTAGCAGTAAATAAAGATTGGGTACTTCATCAGCTAGATGTCAAGAATGCGTTCCTCAATGGTAATCTCGAAGAAGAGGTTTATATACAGGTTTCACCGGGAGTACAAATGAAATTCGAAAACCAGTGAGTGTGCAAACTGTTGAAATCTTTATATGGACTAAAATAGTCACCCCGGGCTTGGTTCGACAGGTTCACAAAAGTACTTTTTCTAGGCAACTATAAGCAATGTTAATCTGATCACACTCTATTCATAAAGACTGCGCCAAAAAAGAAAAAAATAATCTTAATTGTTTATGTTGATGATATCATCATCACGAGTGACGACTTAGTGGAAATAAAGAGATTGAAGGCATTGCTAGCAAGAGAGTTTAAACCAAGATTTAGGGACCTTGCAGTATTTTTTGGGCATGGAAGTGGCAAGATCAAGAGAGAGAATTGTTATAAATCAAAGGAAGTATATTCTGGACTTACTTTTTGAGACTGGGATGACTGGTTGCAAGCCTTTGGAAATTCTCATGGAAGCGAATATGAAGTTAAGAAAAGAGGGGAGTCCAATAAATGAGGAACAATATCAAAGGTTAGTAGGTAAATTAATTTATCTATCACTAACGAGGCCGGACATAACCTTTTTTGTTAGCATTGTGAGCTAATACATGAATAATCCTAGAGAAGAACATTTGGAGGTTGTGAATCAAATCTTGAGCTATTTAAAAATAACACTGGAACACAGATTGATTTTCAGAATACATGGAGATAGGACGATAAAGATTTTCTCAGATTCTAGCCGGACCGAAGAGCTAATGGATCAAGGGTCGACTACGGGTTATTATTCGTTTGTTTGGGGAAACTTGGTGACTTGGAGAAGCAAGAAACAAGTTGTGGTTTCCAGAAGTAGTGATGAAGAAGAGTTTCGAGCAATAGCACTAGGAATTTGTGAATGAGTTTGGTTACAAAGGCTTCTAACTGAGTTAGAGGTGTGCGATAGCAACCATTTTGAGCTTCAGAGTGACAGTAAGTTAGCCATAAGCATTGCTAAGATCTAGTACATCACGACAGAAAACATGTGGAGATCGACATACATTTTATTACTGAGAAGGTGAATGGTGAAACAACAAAACTAAACTACGACTCTTCGAAAAATCAGCTAGCAGATGTCTAGACCAAAGCACCTCCAAGGGTTACTTTCGACGAAATTACATCCAAGCTAGGTTTTGTAATATTTACTCCTCAGTTGAGGGGGATGTGAGTTATATAACGATTATTTCTTGTAAATTAGTGTTTCACCCTAACGCTAACTCTAGCGGCCTACATTTTAGATAAAATAATTTTAGATTAGTTAGAACTCTTGACCTAGAATTCTATTCTATTTGTAACTAGGACTCCTTAAACTACACCTATAAAACAGTCTTGTACTATTCTGATTTTTCAACGTGAATTGAAGTAAATTCTAGTATTTTTTTTCAGTAAATTATATTTTCTACAAAAGAAACTCACCTTTTGAGCCTGCTTAAACATAAATTCGTTGAACAGGAAAGCGGTCGATATTGGTAGAGAACTCTATCATCCACCCAAGAAGAAGACCGATTGCCCCGATTGCCACACAATGATAATATTGGATGTGCTGCACAGCTTAGCTTGGTCAAATACCTTCCGTAGCTGCTAGAACAGGGTCATAAATTCAGAATAACACAAATGTTGCCAGATCCATATACCTGGTTGCCTTCGTTACAGCCATCAGGGAAGTAATGATAGCCGCAGCTGTGTGGATTGCCCTTTTAAGGGCTTCATCATCATTGTGAGGTATACAAAGGTGGTCACTACAAGCCATGAAAGAGAGCCAAAAGTCCATAAACTGAAACATTTCCGAATTTACTAAATATTAGTTCAAACTAATAACTGAAAATATGATAAGAGAACTCTAGCGACAATGAAAGACAAATAGAGGTGATACATGTTTATATAAATTGGATTCATGTTTTGCATATGGATTTCCAACATGATTTTTCCAAGTTTTTCATTGCCAATAATGTCACCCTTCTAGAAATAAATCATAACATATACCTGCAAAACATGAAAGGATATAATGCACCAGTACCGAATCACATGCATGATATAATGCACTTGCTATTCCACTCGATGTGTAGATCACCCATTCTGCAAATGCCTACATATAAACTAGTAATTAAGTTTTTTTTAACTAAATACAGAATCAATGATTGATGGTTAGGTCTGACATTGACATGGTTGGAAAATTTAGAGAAACCTCTAATATTTCATCACAAAAGGTTAGCACCCTTTGCTATCATTCAGAAACATCTTCAAGTTAATCCATGAGAAAAATGGAGCTTTACCCTCTGGTGGAGAGACCAGAAAGAAGGAAGCAAAGCTGCTGTATTAGATGCGATTAAAGCAATAGATCGCCATACGTGTCCTGCATCAGTTTCCAAGCAGATGTGATAGAAGCAAAATTTCGTTATCTGTTGGAAAACAAAGCTAAATTCCTATAAAATATGGGAAGGAAACATGGCAGAGCTGATAATTGTTAGAACATAGAGGACAGTTAAGGTGGGACTTGAACTCCTATCCTGTAGATCACTGGGACTGTGTAGGCCAAGTAATTGAGATTTTGCCTGGCAGTGGAACCGTATCAAGATAATTTGCTAATCCTAAATTTGTTTTTTTATAGCATTACAATAAAAACAAGTCCAGAAATCACTTAAATGCAAATAAACTTGAAGGTTACAGCTCCGAATCATAAACATTAGATGGCCATATCCCGAGCCGATGATTATAGTTTTGCCAATCCCCCCAAACCCGACAAAAAAGTATTTGGAGCCTAAAAAGAGTGAAGAAATAGTTACACTGAAACCATAAACAATAATGTTGATGAAAACATGTAGCAGGAATGGCATCTATATTTTTGCATTCAACTCCTAAAAGGCATTTACCTTGATATGATACAATCTCAATGCTACAGTCAAAACCTCCATGGTTCCGATCACAAGTGCAAAAGCTGAGAAACAATATTTATAAAATGGAAATTATTTTTTTGAAAGATTATAAAAATGAATTAGAATATATGTATGTGTGTGTAGAAAAAAAGGATGACTGAAAAATGTAATACCTGTATGAAGTCAATCCACTTGCATCAAGAGCAGAATTGCAATCACCATGATGGGAGCATCTTTTTGGGCATCTTTCAAGTGAAATAGACATAGTAGTCCGGCCATCGGAAATAACACCAGTTCCGCTTAGATGCCTTAATGCAATACTCCAGATTCCTTCTCTAACATATGTAAATTCGACCTTTTCATCACTTGAATTGTATAATTCAAAAAACATGGAGTTACTACTGTTTGTCTCATTTACATAATAATAATCCCAATTAACATGTGATGGCAATCCACCATTTCTAACATATATTTCATAATTTATCCTTCTATCTGACATTAGCCGAACATGGATATTTCCACCAGCTGCACCTCGAGGAACATTTAGAAGAAAATATGTCCAGGTATCTAGTTCTCCAATTGAGTAGTTGCTTAAAAGGGGCTCGAGCTGAAAATTGGTAGCATCTGACATCAGGTTCCCACCATCTGGCATATAATAGGATTCAAAAGGGGCGGAATATTTCCTGACAACAGTCTGCAGACAACCATTCTCAGATCGTCAATAAAATAATCCTGCGAATGAGTTTCTTAAAGCATCAACAGAAAGGAAAGAGAGTGAAAACATAAAGTTAAAAAAAGAAACTAAATTAAAATAAATCTATGTTTGCATCCCGTTGCTCGATGTGTAAGTGAATGCTTCAAAATCAAAATTTCCAAACTGAAATCGACCCTATTGGTTTCAGAAGGATTGCATTTTAACATGAATTTACTCAGTTTTTAAGGAAACTAGAATATGCCCTCACCATGCTTTGGAAAATCTGGTCAAAGCTTTGAACAAATATTTATAATGTATCTCTTGTATTGTTATCTAATTCTCATTATATGCATTTAGAATCAAAATTGAATTACCATAGAAACTTCTCAAATAAAATGAACCAAACATATAATGAAAATCATATGGAAATTAATTAAAACAATATGACAAAAATAACATGATACTACAAAAATATGTGAACATGTTAAAACCTGTAAAGAAATTATTATTAATGTGTAAACTTATATTGCTACATATTATCTTACAACTAAAAGAAAGTGTATGGCTACATATTATCTTACAACTAAAAGGAAGTGTATGGCTACATATTATCTAAGGCACTTAATTTCAAATAGGCAGATAATTATCTAATAGGATCAAAATATAAAACTAAAACTTACTGACAAACACCAAGTATAATGCAAAAGGAAAAATGAATCAATGAAATCCGTAAAGAAGTGATACATAAGATAAATATGTGTTAACAATGCCCACCTGAAGCATGTATCTTTCAGACGAACAGTTTGGTCCAGCCTTTCCCGAAGGACATTCAAGCTCTTTCAGTTCCAGGGAATAGCAAATATTTGAAGCATTACTGGGAGCCCCTCCAAGTTCCTTTGACAGGTTGAGGGCTATAATAGAAAAATACCAGAGACCAACCTTTGGGAAGCGAATAACCAGAGGGGACTGGTTTAGGTTACCAGAATAGTCATGTAGGGTAGCTGACCATTGCACCGTAACGAGCAAAGCACATTAAGTCAACTCTGCTACTATTCTCAGTGCTGTTCAGGGGCCTTAACCTTGGATTTTGTATTGAAAGTGTTAAGGATTCGGCTATCTGTAGTCTCTCTAAGGCATAGATTTTCATTTCTCCATCCCCGAGGCAAGAGGTCTCAAAATTGTTCCTGCACATAACCATGCTTTGATTGAAGACAGATACTGAACCATTTCTTGAACCATTACCAGATCGACCACAAGAAAGCATTTCAATATTTTGGTTGCAGTACTGTCCTTGCATTAATGAGTTGGTACATCCTTCCACGCTTATATTGGCTGCAAAGGAGTAAGCAGGGATCTGAACTATCTGTAGTCCAGAGCAGTAGCCGTGAATTCAATTTATTTGTTAAACATACGTACAAAAAAAATCTTGGAACTCTCCTAGAAAAGAATAAGCTGACAGTGAAGAACAACAATGATATGAATAGGAACAAAAACAAACATTCTTCAAACAGGAGTTTGATTTTCATATGATTTCCACAAGCCTAAATGCAAGTGAGAAATACATTTTGCTGAGAAACCTTGTTGTATGGGATCAAAAGCCGATCTAGATATGTCTTTCTAATAACCAACCAACAAGTTTCCATTGTGCCGATCTTAAAATTAGAATATCCATCTATGAGCATGGTTATTTTCTTCAGAAGAGAATTACACAACACACATGTATATATCGATGGTAAAAGGCTTAAACAGATGACTTGTTTTTTTTTTGGGGGGGGGGAGAGAGAGAATTGATTACGAGCAGTAGACGCAACTATGGAACCCCTAATGCAATAGATCAAGTGCTGAATAAGGTGCAAAAGAATGGAGCTAGTCATTTACCATCTTCAACTGTGTTCTTGTAGGCCCAAAACCATTGAAAAGACCAAAATACAAAACCCCAGCAGATATCTGAACAGCAAATTTTCAAGTTATAATGCCTACAGTTGAATTTCTAATAATAATATGAAAGAAAATAAAAAGGATGTTGGGGGATAACCTATGTTCCAAATTAAACATTTTACCCCCACACCCCTGATTGTGGGTTAAAAAATGTCAAATGGACGGTGTAGTGTAATACTCGCCTAAGAATTCAGTTAAACAAACTACACGACAAAGCAAGATTTTTAAGAACATAATCGATGACATTTCTTCCATAAAAAGTTCATTTGATAATGAAATCAAACCTGCTCGTTCGTCAACTTCATTGTCAGATTTCTTGGAACAGGATAGCACTGCTCCGAAATTTGAAGTAATTGTATTCCTTCAAAAGATCTGTTAGATAGTGCAACTGGTGCACCAACAATAGAAACGTCTAAGATTCACCCTGGTCAATGAATTCAGTGACTGAAAGAAGAAACTAAGATTTGATGTATGCTTGCAGGATACCTTTCATTGAACTGCTCAAGACATCTGGTAACGGGAGGCTGCCATATCTGAAGCACATCATCGGAAGCACATTTCTAGGAATTTTTTCGATGCTGTTTATATCCTGGAAGCGTTTTGAAGCATCAGCAAAAGAGATGAACAAGAGCGAGTGGTGAAACTACAAGTTTAGACTCCAGAAATCAGTGATTAGAAATGTGATTTTTCTTTCATGATTTGTCTCAACAAAGAGTAGAAATGTACTATGAACAAACAAAAGAAATTCAAGAATCAGCAATTCTGGATAGCCAAAAAATAGAACAGAAACCTAATAGACATAAAAGACTAATTAACTTGGACAACCATACTTACAAGATTGACACTCGTCTTCAGTGCTATTGACATTGAAGAGAACCATAGGGGTAAATCAACTGATACAAGGCAAATAGTAAACCCAGTGAGACTCTTCAAACTAATATGATTCAAACAATAACACATAGAATCTAGTTCATTGCCATTTTTCTTCACCTAAGCACTGCATAAAATATATAGCGTTTTCTTCTCTCTTGCATACAAGAAGAGGGAAATTAACTTCCAGGACAACAGTACTGAAGTAGCTTTCCATAAAAGGAAAGCAATCTAATAATCATCATGGCGGAGAAAATATTATAATGTTGAAGAAATTAGAATTTTTCCAGGTCAAATTCCACTGTTAGTTAAAAAAATCAAAGAATTACTTGTAACACTGTTTCAGCAGCGGACTAAGGCAAATTAGTTTGAAACAGTTTGAAACGTAATTCATTGAGTTATTTTTTAAATATATTTCTTTTAGTGTAAGTTAAACTGACTAGGAAAATTTCTGATTGCTTTCATCATTATAATAGACATAACAGAACAGAATAATAATAATTCTAAAATCGAAATTTATAAGACCGGGGTGAATCACAGAATAGAAACAGCAACCGTATCTCGTGTGCATTTATTGGTGAAGTTTAAATTCAAACAAGCAACCCATTATTCATAGCATTGCACAATTAAAGGATCAAAAACATTAAACCAAAATGCCAGATTGAAGAATTAGAATGACAAAAGAAATCGGTTTCCCATACCTCTTACATAACGCATGTCAAAAGGTCTCATCTGGGTTTCTGGGTAATTGAAGCTTGAAACCGTAAAGGTATCATATCTACCAAGTTGCTCAACCGAATTACAATGTCCAAATAAACAAGAAAAGAGGGTGAAAATACTTAGAATCGAGCTGGAAAGCCAACAACGAATCGAATTCTCTGCCATTTTCTGGGGGTAATTCTTAATAGGGAGCTAAAACATAAATAATAATAGTAATAAATAAAGAGAAAATTTATACGAAGAAATTAAAGGCATAAAGCTTTTTTGGTTTATCGGTGGTTAAAAAGGATCTAATTTCCGGACTGTTTTTGAAGTCCCTTATTCAGTGGGATATTGCTGAAATTATATTAATATCCTCAAAAAATGGCCATCTGTTGACTGCTGCCTATGGCGCGAGTCAATATCAGCAAAAGCAACGTCCAAGACAAGGCCACGCTCAGTCTGGAGGAGCGTGTAGGAACACGCGTCACCGGCGTTCAAAAGAATACAATGCTCTTTGCCACTACTCATTGGATCCAGAAAGCCACAAGTAGTGAAGCGAGGATAAATAGCAAAGCAATTTGTTCTCTTAACAAGATTAAAGGCTAAGGTTTGGAATTTTATTATTATTATTATAAATGAAAAAAAACAAGAACTTGATGATTTACAACTATCAATTAATTTTATTGATTATTGTCATTTTGGATATTTATTTGAAATGTGGATTAAATTATTAATATAAGAATTTACACTTTAATAATATGAATAAATTAGAGCACGTTAATTAAATTTATAAATTCTATATAATATATAAATTAATAAAAGAATTTAACCTTTATTAAATATAATATTTAAAATCATAAATTTCTTTTTTATTTAAAAAAAATCTACAACGTTCGATGAGCACCATTAATTTAATTTATAAAATTTCAAATTCTAATAATTAAATTAGTTTAAAATTTAAAGGTAAATAATATAAAATAAAAGGTAAATTGTACCAATGACTACCTAACTATTGTTCCTTTTTATTTTGACCACTATTTTTGAAATTTTGTCAATCAAGTCACTCAATTATTTAAATACATTCAATTAAGCCAATTGCCGTTAATATTTAATGGAAAAGCTGATGTGATAGTTAAAATATTTGATATTATTACATATTTGGTCCATATTACTTATATATTCTATCAATTTTATCCTAATTTTAATAAATTAAAATAAAATTAATGCTCAAATCAAATGGTGCCAAAGTAGTCTTTATTCATCTTATTCTTTCAATTTGTAGGAAAACAAACAAGAAATAAAAGAAAAGAAAACTTACAAAAATTGATTTCATTTTTGAGAAATTAAAAAAAAATCAAACGCTTTGATTTCAAAAATGCATCTATATTAAGTAAAATCAAAATTTAAACTCTTAAAAATTAATCCAAAACAATTAGATTTTACTTATAATGTGACGAATTAGGTAAAAATAAAGTTACAATACTTGGATAGATGAGTAATAAAAAAATATTTTTAAACATACAATCTAAAAGTAATTACAAAATAGAATAAAACATCTAATTTAAATCCCTAAAATCATTAAAAAATATAATTTAAACACATGAATTTGTCACACTAATTGTCTTGCGTGTATCAAAATAAAATATATTATTTTAAGCTAAAAAATGAAGAATATGGAAAAATGTTGGAACGTCTCATCACAAAACACTGTCATGTTTATTTTACTTTATTATTAGAAATAATAAAAGTCAAAAAACCAGAAAAGAAAATTTGTACTGTCTGACATTAAATTGATTCCTCTTCAACTAGCTACTTTATCATATTTGAAGGTTAAATTTATTTTAATTTATTAAAATTAGGACCAAATTGATAAAATATATAAGTAACAATGATTAAATGTGTAAGTATACCAAATATTTTTAACTTCCACATCAATTTTTCTGTTAAATATTAACGGAAGTGATTTTATTGAATGCATTTAAATAATACTTGAGTGACTTGATTGATTTTTTTTAAATGATGGTCAAAATGAAAAGGGTAATAGTTAGATGATCACTGTTATAGTTTACATTTATTTTAAATAATTTACCTTTAAATTTTTCAACTAATTTATAATTATACGTTGAGTCATTTAAAATTTTAACATTTTATAAATTAATTTTTCGGTACTCATCATCACATGGCCGGGCTCATCATTGATCGTCGAATGTGGAATAATCATTTTTTTAATATAAAATTAGAGACCTACATAAGTTAGGACAAGTATTTTTGTTGTATTATTTTAAGTTGTTTTAATATTTTGTTATTTAAAATTGTAAAAGAATTGTTCTAATTTTAAAATATAAAATTTTATTCGAAATTAATATAAAATTTCAAACCATTTTAGTTAAGCTCACAAAATATTCATTTAAGAAGACATTCCCCTTTTAAAGAACAGAAAAAAAAATTCAACTGAATGTTTGGTAGTGAACTTGTAGAAGATTAAGGGAGATGTAATCTTCTAAATCCGATCTCATTTTAATATATTTCTTTCAAACGTCAGATCTTATTGAATCACAGTTGGCAAAAATCGAACGGCAGTATTCGTTTCCCTCTTCCTTTTTTTCTTCTTCTTTTGACTCTCACTGTTTCAGTCCCTTCTGTCTCTCTTCTCCCACTTCAAAACTCAAAAAGACAAAAACTGTGACAGAGAGTTTGCTCCGAAAAGCATAAAGGAATTTCCAGAGAGGAGCGTAAAACGGTGTAGTTTGAAAGGCAATAAAGGGGAGGAGATGACGGTGATAGACTTGATCACGAGAGTCGACGCGATTTGCAAGAAATACGAGAAGTACGACATCGATAAGCAGAAAGAGGCCAACGTCGCCGGCGGCGATGACGCTTTCGCTCGCCTTTACAGCGTCTTCGAGACCCAAGTCGACGCCATTATTCAGGTGTAATCTTCTTCCTCAAGTGACTTTTTTTGGCTTCTTAGTGTTAAGAAAGTCCTTACCTTTTTCTATAAAATCCTTTAGAAATCGGAAGCTGTTGCAACGGAAAAGAACAGGGCTACGGCGGTTGCTATGAACGCGGAAGTTCGAAGAACCAAAGCTCGATTGCTTGAAGAAATCCCCAAATTACAACGACTCACTCAAAAAAAGGTCTTTCCTTTACATTCATTATTTTGAAAGAATTTTATTTTTCCTTTGCTTGATTAGACTAAGAATTCGTTAACCGTTATTATTTATCTCTGGCGTTATAGGTAAAGGGGATTTCAAAAGAAGAGCTTGAAGCTCGAAACGATTTGGTTTTTGCACTGAAAGATAAGATTGAAGCAATATCAGATGGATCAACAGCTGCAACTAAACAAAGTACTGGTGGTTGGGCAACTTCGAGTTCCTACACTGGAATTAAAATTGATTCATCTTCAGGTAATAACAAGTTATTTTTTGGATCATATTATTTTGAAGATATCCGTCTATGATCAATTGTTTTGAATGTTCTGTAATTGGATTAATCAGATGGGAGATTTGACAGTGAGTACTTTCAACAAACCGAAGAGTCTGATCGGTTCAGGCAAGAATACGAAATGCGCAGAATGAAGCAGGTAGTAATTCTTTTTCTTTGTTGTTGTTTGTCTTACTGTTGCTAAGAGATTGACATTTATAACTCTAATGGCTGTAATGTATCGGATTTGGAGGATTGTAGTAATTCATCTTCCTTTCTAATGATTATATTTTATAGCAATACTCTTTTTTTTAAGGATCAAGGTTTGGAGGTTATAGCTGAAGGTTTGGACACATTGAAGAACATGGCTCACGATATGAACGAGGTTAGTTTTGTCCTATATTGTTCTTTTCGATTTGATATAAATCATAGCTTTAACTTTGGGATCGTATGCTAGTTGTGTTTGGTTATTTGTGTCCTAAGATTCCATTTCTTTCTTATGACAGGAATTGGACAGACAAGTGCCACTTATGGATGAAATAGATGACAAGGTGATTTTCTAGTTTTAAGTTAACTTTCTTTGTTTGTCATGGACATGGGCAACTTTTCTGTTAGTTTGATAATAGCATTCTAGAAAACATTAAATTCATAAATGAAGCCTTTTAATGGTTAACCATACATCCTTAAGAGGAAATTTTCTTTAAGACTTATTCAAAATATCCGAAGATGATTACTAGCTATTGATGTTTAGTCTCTTTTAGATAAAAAGGTAAGGTTGGATCTTTATCCTTTTTCATCTGAAAGTTTCGGCAGATTAGAATTCCAATCTTGACACTGTTTTCTGGTGTCTTCCAGGTAGATAGAGCAGCCTCGGATCTGAAAAGCACGAATGTGAGACTTAAGGATACCGTGCACAAGGTAATTCTATTGCCTTATATCTTTTGATTTTGGATGGAAGATGCTTTCTATATCTTAATGCATATTTTGATTTTGTTCAGCTGAGATCAAGTCGCAACTTCTGCATTGATATCATCCTCTTATGTATAATTCTCGGGATCGCTGCATTTTTATACAAGCAAGTCTTCTGAATCTACTTGAATTATATGGTATTAAGCATTTAGTATTTGAGTTTTGCCTTTCGATGTTCCGAAAAGTATTCGGGCGTCGTCTCTAAAGCATGTAGGGAATAGAAATACCGTTGGCTAATATATTTCCGAGTTTGCTTTTCATGTGCGGGGCACATGTCTAATAAATCCGAGCATCTAAGTAGACATAGGTGTGGAGGTATAATTCGGACTTTGTTTTTTAATGAATCGAGTATATCCATATCCGACGGTTACATTCGAGTTAGACTGTTAGAGTAACATAAATATTATTACTATGACCATAAGTATTTTGACACTATTCTCTGCTGCAGTGTGTTGAAATGAGAAACTCGTCTCTTCTACATGACGAGGATTACTCTCCTTCCATTATTGCGTACGAGTTTGTATGGATTTTAAATAAACTCTCGAGTCTCGACTTTACACCGGTATTATATAATCTGACTTGATATTTTTTGTACGTATTTTTATATGTATTTATACCTAATGTTGTAGTTATAAAGTATGTGGTACATATGAACATGGCAATTGTTATTACATGGGGAGTTCAACTCTATTAGAAGTTTTCGTATTAAATCTTTATATATATATATATAAAAGATATTTTAGTTCTTATGTCATACTTTAAAGTTTATTTTAATCCCTATATTGAAATTGAACATTTTAGTCTCTTTATGTTTTTAATGTTAACATTTTGATCCAAAATATTAAAGCTATTATTAGTTGGTTTGAATATTTTTGTTTAAACACGTTTTAAGTATTAAAATTTTGAGTATGAACAAAATAATCTTTTAAACATTTTTGCAACTTTTGCATAAATTTTTTAAATATTTGTGAAATGTAAATGCAAAATTATTTTTTATCGTAATGTCAAATTTTATTGTTTTCACCGCAATAATGTTATACTTATAAATTAAAATATAAAAATATTATAATTTTATTAGAAAGAATTGTATAGAATTTTAAATTTTAATCAAATTGGTGTCAGTGAAGGTGTACCATAGTAACAGGGACCTATGTGATGAATAGAACAA